ACACAAGGCTGTGAATTACTATGACTAAATAAAGAAGCCAATTTTACTAAGAATATTAATATCTTTCAGGAACTTATAAACAACTTAGATACATGATAAAATACCTAAACCTACTTGAATGTGAAAATATAGATTCTGCATATTGAAAAGGAAGTATTTATGTCATAATAAAATCAATAAAGACAAGAAATTTAGGTAAAAAGTAGTTTATTGAAAATTTATTAGCCTAGTATTCATCTATTACTTATCGTGGCATCGCGTATAAATTAATTCAGTCGGAGTATTTATTTACAATTAACGTTACCCATAGAATATGTTTCTCTTTGAAAAAGAGCAACTTTCACTTTTTCATCAATTGGATATAGAAATACTGCGAACTTACAACCATATTCTGTTACGTCTGTTCCTTTTAGCTGTATTATATTATATTCACCGCCCACATAAAGTGAAAAAAAGTTTATAATCATGCATTAAAGGGAAAGGTGATAAGGATAAAAATTAAAAGAAGACTGCAGAAGATGCAGCTAAAAAGAGCAGACCTAATATATATTTTATTATTGATATCTTGCACAATTTTTTATGCAATGGCCAATAGTGTTACTTAGGCTTCGTTTCCTGATCGTTGACATATCTTATATAAATCTCTCTTTCGTCATTACCACCAGGTGGAATTTCGGCCTCGTTCAAATACGACACACCTATCGCGAGTACGGAACCGTCGTGACTGAAACTGAGTGCAGCCACACCAGCATTATACCGATGAAATTGGCATAGACGTTTCTTATTGAAACCATCCCAAATGTTTACATAGCCGTCTGAGCCACCGGTGGCGAATGTGTTGTATGCAGAATGAAAACTAATAGCATTCACCGGATAGATGTGCTCTACGTTATTCTCTTTAATTCTGTGACACTTGAATGCATACTTCTTCTTTTGAGCCTCTGGCATCGTATCAAGATACTCAACGGCAACCCGACCTTCTATGCTACTCAATACGTAACCCTGAAACATGATAAAAATAACAAAGAATTAAATATGAGTGAATATATATGTTCGATATTGCGTGAACAGTTTAATGGTAGCAATGAAAAGTATCGTAATTACTACTGTGTAACTGTTACTTTGCAGGAGAATTATTTGTATCTTTTTTTTTTCTCAAGTTTTCTTGATTATTATATGCATTATATAATACATTTACAAGAAACAATATACAAGATACAAATAAAACCACATGGATTAAAATTATAAGATTTTGATACAGATTAGTGATAAAATGGTATTTGCAATTGATATAATTAGAAATGAAACAAAAAAAACCAGTTAGGTTTTTCATCAATATCATTGAATTGAGTGAATTACAAGAAACTTTCGAAGAATAAACATACCTGTTCATTAGGGAAGCCTTTGATGCAACGTGTCTGATACTTCAGACTACTTTCTCTTCTCTGGAACATGCCTGTCATATTTCTCAAGTCCCAAATGCAGACCTTTCGCTTTGCAGTTCCTACCACAAACTTGTCTCCGCAAACGGAGAGAGCAAGAATCACATCTGGCTGCAAGTAACTGCCCACGCAATTAGGCAATCGTGGATCCCACAATTTTACCGTAGCATCCCAACTGCCAGTTAATATTGCATTTACTGCTGCACAAAACTCAATTTTTCTGATCGCCTTTTCATGTGTACCCATTATTGTTTCTATAAGCAGATTTTATTTTTTAATATATATACAACTTATAATTTTAATGGCACATGTAAAACGTATGGAAACAGTAAAATCTAAAATAAGAAGAGTAACAGTACCAGTATTACTATTTATATCATACATCTTCAGAGTACTTCCTAGACCGCCACTATATGCATGAACAGCATCCTATAAAAGATATCCTTACATTACAGAGAGTATTACATGAGAAATTATTTTAACCTTTTATTCCATAACTTTCACTTACTTGAAATGCAACATCTAATACTGGCAAATCATGATTGTACTTTATTCGCATCGAATTTGCATGAATGTCATATAGCCTTACTGTACTGTCCCATGATGATACTAGTAGGAACTGTGTGGAGTTTGGTCCAAATTCTACAGCAGAAATTGCATCAGTCGGCGGTGATTTTATTTTAAATTCAGTCCTCGACTCCATTCTACGAAAAAAACAACAATAAGTACTTTGTCACAAATTGCCACAAGTTTGCATCGAGAGTCTTGACTGATAGTATACTACAATATTTCTTCTCTCCGTAAATTACATATTAGTTGTATAACAGAAATAAAAGGAAGGAATTTTGTTAATAAATACTAATCGGCACTAACGCGAATGCTTATACTTAAGCCTGTGTGAGTCTCTCCCGTAAACACAATATAACCTATAAACATATCTGACCGGTTTATTTTATACACTTACTCAATAAAAGTTGTGCTTAAAAGGAGAACCTTCAATTCCTGTACTCCTATATCAGATGTATATGTATTTTTCGATATAATTTAAAGAATATACGTCAGTCTTTTTATAAATTTATTTATATATATATTCCGTGGATATGTATATACACACATACAAATCGCATAGGCTGCGATCGTAAGTTAAAGAAATTTACAGATGTGTATTAGAAACAAATTTTAATAGTACAGCTTCAGCCGCGATTCTTACGTTGATTGGTCAAGAATCATGTGATCAAGAATCATGTGATCTCTTTTATCTATAGTTCTCTTCAGCTGAATTGGCTGTACCGTTCAAGAAATTTACACACACATTGAAGTGTATGAAAAGCGTACGTACATACGAGGTTCTCACGCTTCAGTGTGTGTGCATTTCTTGACTAGAGCAGCCAGTCGAGCTAAGAAGACCAATAATCATCGATACGCGATTTCAAACAACTTTGATCTTCAATACGTAGTCCACTATAGCCATGGTAACCCACCAACAGCTAAAAAGAACGGACTCAGAGGCTGCGCCGATCATACTTTGCTGCTGCCTCGATATATATGACGTCATGATCCTGTTGGTAGAGCTTACGCGTTTCAGCGGTGTTAAATTAATCCGAGTCGTGCCGACGTTTTTTCACCGATCAATTACAGCTGTATGTTGAAAATGACGTGTCATGTGTTACTCGCGTTGCCACATGAATTCAAGGAGCATGCAGCTTCGGATTTGCATGTAACTAGAATCTTTCTACTTTCGCAGGTAAGCGAATCCCAGACTTACGATACACTCGCTTGTCGGCAAACAAGTTTGTCAATATCGAGATTGAAATTGAGTCAAAAGTCATAGTGATAATACGTTTTTTTCCTATATTTATGGAAAGAAATGAAAGAAATGTGCATTTGTGGCGCAGATATGATACGGTTAGTCTGGAAACTGGACGGATAATCTCTCTTTGATGTTTCGTATGTTTTAAACAGATATATAAATGTAACATATATCAATGCATTAATGAGAGACGCACATGATGACAAATAAAATAATGAAATGAACTAGTAATTTATATTTTTTAGGTTTGATGCACTGTTGTCAATAATAATGTCCCGTGATACATCACATTGAAGACCGTGTGTAATCTGTACATATATATATATATATAAAGATATAAGCTGTACAATGTGGTCCTTTTTTTCAAAAGACCCTGCCAAAGATTTCCCGTATGATATCGGGGAGCCTATCCTAGGCTTGGAAAACAAAAGCATTTGGACGCTACACAGAGCCAAGAGAAAGGTAATTTAATTAGATATAATAGAGATATAACACTACTAGAAGTATCGCATGTATACGTGTAATATACAATATTATATTTTATCCATTCTATAATCTAGTAGCAGAAATATTGTATTAAGTTCTTCTACAGGGTACCACAACTGGAGAGGATGTTTCAGTTTTTGTCTTTGATGTTAAGAACGGAGGGGAGCCACAGCTGGACATTGCCCGTTCAGCTGTGAAAAGACTTAAGACACTTAGGCACCCGAGTATACTAGCATATCTCGACAGTCTTGAGGTATGAGTTGTATCAAACCTTTCTGCCGATGTTATAACCGTGTTAAATAGAGATGTGTAATCTGTATTTTATTGCTTTAGACTGACAAAATGGTTTACTTAGCGACAGAACGTGTGGAGCCGCTGCATAATCGTTTGACACGGAAATGTGACGCCGAGAGTAGGTCTAAGAACGAATTGTACTTTTCCTGGGGTATATTTCAAATTACAGTATGTATTAATGAGTATGAACATTTATGTGTTGGAAATTTCTAAGCAACGCACAACATTGAACACAGGAGAAAAATCTATAATACATATTACTTCAATTTGATGGCAGAGGGCACTTAACTTCTTAAATAATGATGGGAATTTACGGCATAATAATGTCAATCTGTGGACAGTGTTTGTCAACGAAGAGAGCGGGGAATGGAAACTCGGTGGGGTTGAGTACATGACTGCTGTGGACACGCCTTATAATTTATTACCCCCCACTTTCCAAGTATATCAACCACCAGAGGCTAAAGAAAATGCAAAACCAGTAACTAAATGGTAAACTGATTATATTAACTTGATCGAGATATTATGAACATATCTATAGGCACATGATAGAACACGTTGCATATTTTCAACTTACATTAGTTCTTGGTAGAAAATTGTGCGTTAATTGTGAATTTTTTTCTATCAATCCTCACATTTTAGCTGAATATACTCTAAATAGTTAAGTAAGTTACTTTATATACTTGTAATTGTCTCAGAATACCAGCTTCTATATATAAACATTCAGGTTTAATATTAACACTATGAAACTGATGTGAATAAATAAAAAAACAAATAGCTCAGTCGACATGTGGGGACTCGGCTGCCTGATCTGGGAAACATATAACGGCACGCTCAACACCACGCCACAGTTAAAAAATACAGACAAAGTAAGCTGTTTGCTACTTTATGTTACACCTTTACGAGGTGTGCCACAATCCCAAGTCATCAATTGACGGGGGCGCTTGTTTCGTTTTCCAAGATTCCGAGGCAAATAGCGGCAGTGTATCGAGAACTGACCGGCGGTAATCCGGAAGGAAGACCAAATCCCGCGGATGTGATAGCCCGTTGCCGCAGCAACGGTGGTTTCTTCAAGAACGACCTCGTGGACGCTCTGTTGTTCCTGGAGGAGATTCAGATGAAGGAGAGGGGCGAGAAGGGACGGTTCTTCGCGCAGTTAGCGGCCCAACTGGATTCGTTTCCCGACGGTGTTGGTCGGTACAAGATCCTGCCGCAGTTGCTGGCCGCCTTTGAGTTCGGGGATGCCGGTAGTGCGGTACTGCCGCCGCTGTTGCAGCTGGGTTGTCAACTACCCGACGTCGAATACCAGCGCCGTGTGGTGCCGTGTGTCGTGAAGCTCTTCGCGTCGAACGACAGGGCGACGAGATTGCGTTTGCTGCAGCAATTGGACCGTTTCGTCGATCACCTGCAATCGGCGACCGTTAATGAGGCCATCTTTCCACAGGTAACGGTTTCGCCGATTGGAAACTTGAGGGGGAAACTATATCGAACATTAAAAAATAGTAATATTAAAGTAATATGAGTGTAAATACTTGTGTGAGCGAATTCTCAATTAGACAACGAAAATTATGTAAAATGAATTTATACAGAAGAGGATTCTAATTGTGTCATGTTACATGTTGTATGTACGTCTCTTGCAGGTAGCGAGAGGTTTCCTCGACACGAATGCAGCCATCAGAGGTCAAACGATCAAGTCGGTCGTGTATTTAGCACCAAAGTTAGATTACAATAATCTCAATGTCGAGATCCTAAGGTACTTCGCGAAGCTTCAGTCGAAGGATGAACACGGTGGTATTCGCACAAATACCACAGTTTGCCTTGGAAAAATTGCTCAACATCTTCATCCACAAATCCGACAGAAGGTAACGTCGATCGGAACCTTTTTGGATTATTCCTAGCTAGTTCAAACCGATACGATTATTCTTCTTCTCTTCTTCTTCTTCTTCTTTAATGGATATCTGTCTCACTCGGGACACAACCGCTGCTCTTTCATCTTCCTACCCCCCTTTTTTCCAGATTACTTTATTTTTGGATTTCTCTTCCTATCGATCAGGGTAGGTTTTTCATGAAAAAGTTTTTGATTATATGTTTAAAAAAAAATGTGACATTGCACTAATGCAGTTCAATGCCACAATACTCGTAAGAAAATGTAATTACAATAAAATGTAGGGAGCAGTTTTATCTTGTGACTTTTCATTGTCGAGATTTCTAAGCTGCCTGGTACAATAATATTTGTTAAATTGTCAACGTGAACTTTTAGGTATTGATTGGCGCTTTTATCCGTGGCACTCGCGATCCGTTTCCTCCGGCCAGGACCGCGAGTATATTGGCTCTGGCCGCAACGCAACAGTACTATCTGCTGCAGGAAGTCGCCAATCGCATTCTGCCGGCTCTGTGCCCACTCACCACAGATGTGGACAAAGCAGTGAGGGACAATGCGTTCCGAACAATTCGTGGTTTTATGTCTAAGCTTGAGAGGGTCTCGGAAGATCCTGGTCTTCGTGAATCAATGGGTAAGAACGCTTTAAACGTGCATGTTTAAAACGTTTTCATGTTTTTATTAGATGACGCAGCACGGCTGAGGAGTGGAAAATATTTCATTAAAATTAATAATTCCCTGGAAGATTGCTGTATTTGGAATGCTATATTTGAAACGTTTGTAGAGGCTGACGTGAATACCGCGACACCCAGTCTCAGCAACGCTGCGGCCACGTGGGCAGGATGGGCTGTCACCGCGGTAACGGCGAAGTTCTATCGCAGTCAGTCGGACACGCCAAAATCGTCGAATGCCCAGAGCACATCTAGGATCCTATTGAATAAACCCGCTTCCTTAGGTTCGCATCTGTTCCTTTTATTGGCTGTTCATCGCGTACCTTGCGCATATTCGATTGCTCGAGATGTTTTTTTCCTTTCTTTTATCTCAGTAATGGTAAAATTATATATATATATATATATATATATATATATAGGGGAGAAAAAAATGAATGAATGAAAGTATAGAAAAGAAAAATAAATGAATGAAAATGTAGGAAAGAAGAATGAATGAATGAAAATATAGGGGGGGAAAAATGAATTTTTCGACGAGCTTGATGTATGTATTCTTTAATAACGATGCTTCCATTCGGCGATTTTAGAACAAGCCAGCAGCTCGCAGAGCAGCGCAAGTACAACCGCGACGACGAGTAGCGCAACGAGCACGACCTCCCTCGATCCAGACTACGAGCATGATACGCAGAACACGCAGAACACGAATTCCGATTGCGACTGGGATTGTTGGGATGCCGACAATTGGGGGGACATGGAGCAGCAACCCGCCGCTACACAGTCGTCGGTACCGTTGAATCCAGCCAGTACTATATCATCGTCCGGCCACTCCCCCAAGGCCAATGAACAGTGGACCAGCCTTGAAGAGGAACCGGTTTGTCACTTGACATTTTGAAAAAATTCTATGCGCGAAGTCAAGATTTGCGCTAGATAGATACTCCGTATCCAACGTGATATGTGTTTGTGCGAACGAGCGATAAGTATGACGTGGCCGCAAACACGTTCCTAAGCCCCTGCGTAGTAAAATCGCTCAACCGGTTTAGAGCCGATTTCTCCTTAACAAAAAACACCGAAACATTATTCCCGTTTAAATCACACAATCCGAAATGAAGGATTTTTCGCAAATCGAAAACTTGAACTAGATCTTTTCATTTAAAACTTAGCAATCAGAGATAATTAATGCTAAGCAATTAAAGATAGATAGGGAAAATTTAAGTCCATTAAATTTTTATTAATAATATCGTTTAAAAATTGATCCATGAAGTTAACTGCAATACATTGGTCGTGGAATAGTCTGTATATAAGTGGGTGGTTTGATAAATAACTTGGTTCGCATACTAATAGAAGGCGACAGCGATATTTATATATGTGATCATAAAATGTCCTTCCTATGGATGAATATTCTGTGGTCACAAGTCATTCTGACAGTAATTTGTTGTTCGACAGTTGCTTAAACAGAAGTGTTTCGAGTAACAGTGAAAAATGGATAAAATTGGAATTCATGGTGTGATTCAATTTTTTTTCTTTGGAAGGGAAAACAACGAAGAAAATTTATTTCCTCTACATTGGGTGACTCATGCCCTTCCTATGAAACCATTCGACTTTGGGTAAATGAATTCAAGAGTGGCAGAACAAGTATCGAAAATGTACCACGTATAAATTGAAATACAAATACCGGTACATTAGATAGAAAGACGAGATAACGACAAGAATGTGACTAGTTAGTCACGGTGGAAATATTTCAGTATCGTTATCAACAACACGATAAACTTTTTTACTACGTTACAGGAGGAAGAAGCAGCCCAAGGTGTTCAAGAAAAAAATGATTCTTCCGAGGTAGGATGGGAAGATTCGGAATTTCAGCCTTTCGAGGATGTTCAACCTATAGAACAACCAGGTATATGCCGTTTGTTTTCTGAACTATAAATATCATTTTCTGGGAAATTACAGCCAAAATTGTTAAAGATTTATATTTATTAAGAAAAGAATGTTTTTTGGAATGTAATAGGCGTTCCTAGCGGAAACAATAAATTTGAGGAAGCAAAAAGGAAAAGAGAGGAGCGCAAATTAGCTAGGCAAAGGCAAATGGAGGCGAAACGAGCGGTGAAATTGCGAACCAATCCAGCCGTTAAGAAGATTTAAGTGAAATAATTACACGCCGTATATTATTGAACATTCTATTGTACATTAAGCGAATTAAACATTACGAGTAATACAATGAAAGTATTTTCTGTATTTATAACTTGTCCGATATAAAAGAAAGAAAAAGATTCATTCGAAACTGTTTTCTACAATATTATTTATTAATATTATATGCATGGAAAAATATACATGTTAAGAAAAATTTAATTATTTTATTTAACAAATTACTATGTTTTTACATCCTATACAGTCTATGATATAAAACATTATTTTATTTACATGTATAGAACCTTCTTAGGACAAATGGTAAGTTAAATAATATAAAATATTTAATCAGCCTATTAACCGCGTACCAATATACAAGCAACAATATTATAGATAATATCTTACGAATAGGGCATAGATTTTTTTTTAATTTTTGCTAATGAGATATTTTCTCCATAAAAAATACAAATTGTCAAATTTCCAGAAATATATGCTTAAATGAATAAGAATTTTAATTGATCGTTATAGTAGATAAGGCCTCGATAAAATGGTCGGTCTATTGCTATAAGTGAGACTGTTCATTAACGTTATCATTTGGGAATCGCATATTGAGATGGTTCGCATTGTTAGGTTCCCGTTTAAAACCTATATTTTCATAGAACGGTACTAAACGATCCGTGCAGTCCAAAGATAACTTGTAACAGTGGAAATGATGTGACAACTGCATTATGATTGTCACCACTAGTTTGCCTAATGACTTGCCTCTGTAACTGTTGTTGACTACTACATCTTCCAAACGACCTCGCTATAAGAAATTTTATAAGTGTGTGATCAATATGTTTTACATCGTCGTATCTATCCTGTTTCAAGAAGAATCAAGAAATGCGCAGAAAGCTACATACCACACCACAGTTATGGATAAACTTCTGTTCTACAACTAATGTTGCACAGGCAATTACTTTTTCAGTATATATATCTTCAATAACAACAATGAAATAACCACCTGCAGTCTTCATGCTGTAAAATTTATCTGAATGATACAAGAATAGTGATTAATATAGTTTTTGCTGTACATATTATAAATCAGTTTCTGCGATGACTTACTCAAAAATTGTTCCTTGGTAACATTTCCAACATCAGTCAATTGAGACAAAAGAACCAAGAAACCTGATGATAAAACAAATTATTTATAACATTTATTTTTATAACAATTATTTGCAACATAATTTTTATATATTTTTATGTAAAAATATAGAAAAGAAACTTATGTTGTAAAGAAAGTAACTGTATCTGAAATGTACCTTTCTCGTAATCTGTACTTCTTAATGGTCTTATAAATAATCCATCAGTGGGTGGTAATGACAATCTCTCTAATATAGTGGGATTAAAGAGATTAACTTCATCATTTAAAAGGAATTTTTCCTGTATAACACATTGTAGAACAACATATTTTCAATAACATTAAGGAATTTTATTAAAACTAACAAATTAATTTCTCTATGCTCCTTATGTATATCCGTTTATTTAATAATACAGCTAATCTCTTTTGTAGACATACATCTTTTAATTATCAGAGAATCAAATAGAAGACTCGAGTTATGAGATTCCATCTTCATGAAATCATAACATAAAAAAAGTTAATGTATGGACACTTTACCTGTGCCTTGCTCATTTTCGTTTCACAATCTGGCAGTTACACTCTCTAAACTTGTCGTCGAATCACACTTGCGATACCTGAGAGCAACTCGATGACTACAGGTATAGGTTTATTCTTTTTAACTGAACTGCCTGCATTAGATAGCATTCACGATTCTCTTTCTCTCTCTCTCTCTCTCGATACTGGTTCCAAGAACTTTTTTGTAGCCTTGCAGGTAATATAAAACCCATATCAGACTATAGATTAGAGATTGGGATTGCGAATTGGGGTTGGAAATCGACCAATGAAATCACAGCGAGTCTGAATTGGAATTGTAAATCATTATCACACTATGGATTAAAATTGGGTGCGTTCAAGGAAACGCTATTTAGAGCTATCGCGTCATTCTATCCTTATTGTATATATAAAAAGTAATAAAAATAGAATGTCACGTAGCGCTAAATAGCGTCTCTTTGAACATACCCTATATGTAAAGAGTAAAGCCAGCGGCACACGATGCTTGTTTTGTGCTGGATACAGATCTGAAACTGCGTTCTCATTGGTGCATTTTCGAAAATAGACAGGAATACGCCAATCAAAACGCAGTATTTCTATCCAGTGAGCAATCCAGTACGAAAACAAGTGCCATGTGCTACTGGCGTTAGAATGGTTGCGTTCGACAGAGAAAACAGTTTTGCAACTGTGTAAAATTCATATTTTCTTCTTTCTCTATCTAATTTTCACTGTCAAAGTACTGCTAATTTTGACACTTTTCGTCTATACTTGTACTATGTGTACAATTGAAACCAATCATTTATACATATTGATTTCTATGGCTGAATTGCCTTCATTTGATCGTATAACCTTTTTAGGATTGTGAGTTGCCAAGGCCAAACACTTTAGTCGCAGAATACACGCGTAGGTAGCGATTTTGCCAGAAGATAAAGGCGTGAGGAATCGAGAGATCGTTGCACTGATTTTTATCGAACCTTCCTCTGGAATATCTTACCGACCGACCAACGATGAGACCAATCTGTTGTATCTAGGGATGGAGAGCGTTTGAAATGATAAAAATTACTGGGTGAACGTGCAACCCCGTAAGCTGTGTAAAAATTGACTGGAATTTAAGTAAAATTCAATTCTGAAAACATTTGCTTCCCGGCAAACCGTGAACAGCACGGAGATGGCCGATGAACATATAATAGAACGGAATGAACATTTAGATATGCCGACCTCGTACATGGATGAAATCCAAATTCGTGACATAGGTATATAAATGCATCTTTTCTTTTTAAATTGATTGTTTTTGAAATATACGTAATGATTCCTTGGGAGTCCCAATAAACATCCCATCACCTTCTTAGCCGGGAAATGGTCTTCGTTTTCTTCGGCGCACTTTCAGCAGTTATTTTCCATTATTTTGACTGCTATTTAGATTCTAGTGTGAAGTGATGAATTCAAGTTTCACCCATAATGACGAATCGACGCAAAAAGTCCTTTGGATTGCGATTAAGTCATCAAACACTACATTGAAATGTTCATTCGAATTCATTCGAATGTGTTTTTGGTCAACAGCCAACAATCGCAGTATCTATCACACAGACAGCTTCTTCATATTCAATTTTTCATGTAGAATATTGTACACCCGTTCAGTTGAGATGTTTATAGCCTTAGCGATCTCATATACTCTGCGTCTTTTATTACGATATGAATTTTTTTGGATGATTTATGTATACTTGATGTATATTTTTCTTTCTCAGATTTCGAAAGACAATATCCAAATGGTAAAACGATATTTTATAAGAAAGCCAAGGTAGAATTATTTCCATCGTACATTTGTTCGGACGGTTTGGTAAGACGGATAACTATTTACGAGGATGATCAGTACACCACACCTATTCGATACTGTGAAAAATATTTAAACAGAAATGATTATCTTGTGGAATCCACGAGAGATCTCGACACAGATACTATTACGGATTCCTTTGAGAAAGGCCGATCGGATTATTGCAAAGGTGCACACTATTGCACTTACAAGTTTTACAATGTTATTTTTATGAAACTAAAAAGGGAGAAATTAAAATGCAATTAATATAATAATAATAATCATTGATATTAATAATCTAATACGTTTGACGTCATCTGTGCTTATTATTTTTTTGAACAAAGATAGTAAAGTCAATTTCAATGTCAATTTTCCTTCACAGTCCTCTGTTGTAAAAGATTTTGAATTTTTTTAAATATTTTAAAACAATACACTAACTGTTGATTAATATCGGCAGCACATCGTTATCTAGCATACGACAAGGACACGATAGATTGCGAGAGAGTGATAGACTTTTACTACAAGGCACACTTCGATGGATTGTCACGCATTGAAATGGGTCCATTCCATTTGACTCAGCATTATGTAGACCGCGATGATTTCCTTTATTACAGGTAAGCCGTCTTTAATGGTCTATGTGAAAGTCAAAGTCAGTGAAGCTGGGTCAAAGTCAGTTCGCTAATCGAAATCATTTCTACCTTTTGATTATTTTAACAGACACACTGAATTTTCAACGGACAAAAGCAATTCAACGACGAATAATATCCATTCTCGACATATCACAGTAATGTATCCTTTATATGAAGTTCCTTCTATTTATTACAACGTAGTGAAACGAAGGCATGATTGAACTTTTATGCATGTTGCAGAAAATCGACGAAAAGTATCATAGGAACGAGAAAGTTTTGGCTCACAGAGACATAGCCGTCCGAAAATTCATAATAAACAAAAACGAAATACATATTAAGTATCATTATGACAAAGGCCAGAGTACTAGAAATACCCGTACGTTTATGAAACCGACAGCAGATCGAGGAGATCGTTTGGTCTTCGATCCTAGTATGGTTCACGAATATCATGTAAATCTCTCTTTTTCTTTCTATTGATGTATCTGTCTGTGAAATGATTTGAACATATTTGAACACTTCAAATGATCATTTCAAATGATTGCAAGTCCTAGTATTGCAAATGTGTAAAAAAATTATCGATTCGGAAATACCGGGACTGATTTTCAGTAATGATTCCAGAACTTCATCAGAAAAAATACATTCAAACTGTTTCGCAAACAATTGTACAGCGAACTGCACATGTATAATTTGAATTTTATCCTCTCTGTCCATAGCCGAATCCGATGGCGCTACCGGAGAAAAATATCTATCTGTTTTACGATTTCGATAAACACTTAAAAGACGAAGATCATTGTACGTCGCGCATCAAAGATACCGAGAGCGAAGTTGCGTCGTTTCTGAAAAGGAGAGCCGATGAAAAACTAAACTTGCAGCTTACAATATCATTGTTCGACAGAGATCGGGTGGTTGACACTGCCGTGACGAAATTGGAAACGGTATTGGTTGCTCGTTCAACGTTCGTTGACTCTTCCTAGTTAACACGTTGACTGCCACAGTGACACTGGAGAATTTGGTGTGTCTGACGCCATTTGAAAGACATCAGCGTGTTAACATATAATTAATTATGTTTATTATTCAACAAAATTCCTTCAAACAAAACCTACGTGAGTTAATTCGTAGTTGACATATGAAACAAAGAAATTTTGAGCTTGGAAGAAAGATAGCTTGTATTTACCAGTCAATGTGTTAATCAGCCAGTTCGATAGTAATTTGATCACATTCATACCGTTTTGCAGGAGGGGCCGCGTTATTTGAGTCAAGAGGATGTTATGCGAGAGTTGGACCCATTAGGGCCATATTTGGCACGAATCAGCGACTTGTCGCTTATCACCAAGGAGGGAGCGTATTTGTTATACGACGAATGCTTGAACGACTTCAAACAGTCTTCTGTGGAGAAAGCTAATCGTATTTTATTTGTGATGCAAGAACATAATGCTAAATTGGAAAAGTTGCAAGCTTCGTTGATACAGGTGAGAAAAGCAGCTTCGCTCGACGAAGTAATTTTCCTTAATCATTATCGTTACGAGCTTATGGTAACCTATACAGCACAAATATCTGAAATATATCTAAAGATATCTAAGGACCAGAATTTGTCTTTTCTGATTTTGACGAGTTTGGATCTGTCGCTAAGTGTCTCATGCATCTTGTACTTTTATTTGGATCAATGTGAATAAAACATATAAGTTAAAGAAGACAGAGCGAACTAATAAGACAACTGTCGAAACAACGCGAATGACATATAATTTTGATGACGATGACATCATGTGACTTAAATGGAACGTAATCTAGAAACATTAAAGATACATTAAACAAACATTAAACATAAAAGACGTCTAATGACTCACTAACTTCGGTTAAATTTAACCGACGGTTAACTCAACGGAATTGACCAATCATATTGATCGGTTTAACCAATTGGCCAATGCGATCGATCAATTTTGTTGAATTAATGAGTCGGTTTGGTTATTCGAAGTTGATGGAAATGACTGTAAAACATGTAAGATATCTTTGAAATGTCTCTAATATCGTCTTTTAAACATTGATATTATCTGGGAATTAATAAAATCACGACTATGCGTAGACTGCGGAATTATCGAAAGCGGAGGAGGAACAAATACTAGCAAAGATCAACGAACTAAATTTCGACTTGTATGTGCTGGAAACGTATCTCAATCATCACAGAGAGTCGACGTCGAGGAGATACCAAGTACTGGTGAACCGTTTGCGAGAAAGTCCATTTTTACAATCGTTCGGCATAAAGCTTTGACTACCTCGGAAGAGAGCTACATGCAAGTGTGAGGGATTCTAGCTGACGCAAGAACTGATTACGAAAAATCATACTTATTTTATACCAGAGAAAATACAATGGCGTTTCGTCGTGTATAATAATGCGATTTATATTATTTTTGGTACGTATCGTTGAGTAGTCATTCATTGAAAGGACCATGAGCCCATTTGACCGATGCATCTACCTGAAACGATTTTAAAATGTGAACGAAACCATCGTACTTTACGCTTTCTCTCCAAGTTTTTTTTTTTTACCTTCGTCGTCGAAAGTAGCCAGGGTGAATTTACTGAGTTTATTCGTGAAGCTCCCGGTGGCAGTGGTTAGTGGATAATCCAACAGGTCACTGTTGCCCTCGCTACTAGCAAGCTGACGCAGACGATAATCATCCGCGAAGCCGGAGATTAAGGTGTCCATCATTATCGCCTGTAATGAACAAATCAATTCTTTACGATACTTCATTTTGTAAGATAAAATCCAATGCCTGGACATATACCTGACCCTGAACATTCTCATTGTTTTGGTTTTTAAATATTAATTCTTTAAATTAAATGGAATATTTAAACTTTCAACACAGAATATATATATCAGATGCAAATTAATTCGGTGCTTTTACACTTAACGTCTTGTAACTCTGATTCAACTTTAAATTTTTTTCCCGCCCTATGGTGATTTGAAAGTTTTTCCGCGAGGACATTCATCAGCTGCCCAGTAGATGAAGTCATAGAAAACAATGGAAATTATTTCGAATATTAAACTTGTACTTGACTTTTTATGAATAAATTTTGAATTTCATGAAAAAAATGGCACCGAATTAATTTGCACACCTGATATATAAAATTAACCGGTACCTGTCTTGAGAACACTTGCAAGATTTTGTAAACTCGTGTTCCATTCTCACGCACCGGAAACTGCAGAAACAAACAAGGCAGACAGTTTGGATTGTTTTCGTCCGAAGGCTTTGCCATTTCCCAACTCAGTTCTGAATATTTTAGTCCCAATAGCAAACTCTGCAAAAATATTTTGTTAATGTTACCACACTATATGAGTACTATAGAACTATAAAGCTATATTTATACGGACTACGATAGATGAACATAAATATTAACATCAAAATAATCTCGACTTTGCGTGTCTATTGCAACTTACACACTGCATATCATCGACTATATACACCCCCGATGTGTTGATCGCGATGAGGATCTGTTGATCGCGATTAGTGATCCACGATGCGAGGCCTCTCACTGGCCGTTCGATCTGACCTTGAAAGAAGGCCGCCCCGTAGCACGGTAAATTCCAACAGAACTCGAGATACTTTCTAATCAGCTTCCTTGGGTTCGCGTTGGATGTGCTGCCGTTGTGACTGTTCGGTATTCGCTTGTATTGCTCAAAGAGGTGAGCCTCAGGTGCACCCTTGCCACCTACCAACCCAAGTCCAAGCCCCAGGCCCAGCCAAATGCTGGGAGATGCGTGATGATGTGGTAAAAATCGGCCCCGGTGTTTCCGGAAAAATGCTAGAGTGTGGGTTTGCGCGTTGTACGGCCCGAGCTCGATGCGAGCTTGTAAGGCTCCCAGAGTGGCGTAACGCGCAGGACCATCGCATGCGTATCGTCCTGGAGAAAAGGAAGTTTGCAAGATAACACCGAGAGGCGATCTATCCAACGATGTTCGATTAAGAGTACTCACCTTGCAGAACATTGTGTCTGGCCTCCGCGTAGAGCAGCTCGAGCACTTTGATGTCCTTAATCTGCTCCTCCTCCGCTCTTGTGAGAAAGATGTTCCTGCGAAAGTATAGCAAGGGCTCCTCGTTATCGGAATCTTCTCCATGTGAGCTATATTTGTTCACCAGGTAGCTCCATTTGGCGGCCAACTCTACTGGCTTATGTGTTGGACGCAGCTGCACCTCCAGCTGCGAAGAGCACATCCACAATGCGAACACTGGGGTGGCAGTTACCAAAGCTAATCTCGTCAGGCCTAGTTCAGCTTCAGATTGTACGGTCGTGAAGATTTGCTGCGTGGTCGCGTTTTGGTCAACTTCCATGATCAAGAATACTCCCGTCATCAGGTACACGGCTATGTGTACGGTGGGTCTCCCTGTGTTCAAGTATTGAGACTGATTTGTCACTGCTTTGTTCACTGAAAATCGAAACAAAGTCGATGATGATGGAAGAAATAACATATATGTTATATAAAAAAATTATATTTGCATCTCTTAAAATCCCTGACAAATGTAAATACATACATGAAGATGAGTGTCCTTCCATTTTGTATTCATTGGGGTAACGGTGTATTGGTTGTCCTCTTTGAATAGGACATTCATTCTGTTGCTCCATTTTTTCTTTTTCCTTCAATTTTCTTAGTTTCCTCCGATCATTATTCGTTACACCATAAGACCTATTAATACAAAAATTGACAGTCAGACTTGTATAAAAATATACATTGAGCTTTAACTATTTGGTCTATTCATGCATAATATTATCTTGTTTTAGTTATTTTTTATTCGAAATTTTAGGAATTACGTATACGTACCATCTGAAGCGGTGTAATATTTATAACGTACTTGTGATGCTGCAATCGCGAGAACGAATGATCGTTCACTAAAGTTTATTATTATAATTCTTGCATTTTCACTATGCCGTTAAGAAATATCCATTATCATCGAAACTCCTAGTTTTTCCATTTTTGTTTGATTTCATGTATCACCACTACGTTGTCCTACTGCCATCTGAACTCTGTAGCAACAGCGGTTATTGATTATTTGTACGTAGCTATAGAACATGAGGCAAGTCCATTTGATTCGTCACGTGCCACTACTAACTAAACTAACTGGGAAATCAAAGCGATAATATAAGTAGAGTGCATCGTAAAACTTAGGAAAATGATAGTTAAAGCAATATGTATTCTTATATCTCATATTTTGATTTTGATATATAGAATGTAATATCCTCTGGAGTCATTCGATAGGTCATTTGTGAATTGATCATCAATCATATAACGTACTTAGAGATTAACGCATATAAATAAAAATATAAACAAAGAAGAATAACACGTAATATGTTGGGACAGTAGTAATAAATAGCTAGTTTTTAATACGTGAAATTGCAAAGCTTCAAAAAGTAATATATCCTAATTCAAAGTACAATTAACTCAGGATTCAATCTTTTATAACACGTATCAAAATTAAAGTGACCCATGAGGTGTAACCTTTTGCAAATAATTATTTAAAATATTTGTCTTTTTTTCATAAAAGAATCTGTATTTTATTAATATACATGTTTGTATGCAATATTTATGCACCCGACATTGAAATATTCACATACGGTTGAAAATTTCGAATAATTTCAAGTCTAATAAGTAACTAACTATCATTAATGCTAATTATATGCTTAATGCNTTATTACATTAAGCGAACCTTCAAAATCATACTGGACGCCATGGAAGTTGATCCTGATATGAACGTTATGCAATGCTGGAAAAAATTTGACATAGCGAAATGCATTGTTAACATAAAAGAATCGTTGGGAGAACTGAAGCCAGAGACATTGAAATCATGCTGGAAAAAACTGTGGCCTGTTCTGACTGTCGAAAATGATGAAGAATCCGTGCAAATTCAAACTTTAACTGCAAACATTGCTGAAGTTGCGAATGGAATAGGACGAGATGGCTTTGAACAGATAGAATCAAATGACATTCAAGAGTTGCTTGAATCGCAAGATGAAGATTTGACAGAAACCGACTTAGAGGAAATGTTAACTCCGCATCCCATTGAAGAAGAGGCTTCAACGAGTTCTGAAAAGGTGGTCTTTAACTTGAAAAATCTGAGTGAAGGCTTACAGATGGCAAATGAGCTTTGTGATTTTTTTATGAAAATTGATCCGTCTATGGAAAGAAGTCTCATTTTTAAAAGGCAAATTATGAATGCTACAGCTGAATATCAATCTGAATTGAAAAATCTTTTAAACGCGGCAAAACAAGAAAAAATTACTAAGTTCTTTAAACCCTTGCCTAAGCCTGACAATAATTAGTAATAGATATTGTTAAAAATCACTTATTAAATGTATTTTATTCTGATATATTTTTTATATTTTGGAACCATGGAACGTATCCCCTATAATCCTATACAAATTACCATTCTATATCCACGGTTTCTGTATTCGCGGCAAATTTATGGAACATATCCCCCGCGAATAAGGAACTTTTACTGTATTGGTAATCAATCATGCTTAAACCATGCATCATTACATAATACAAAGACAAATTTTTCCGCTTATTGTTATATATTACTCTTATATAGAGTTTATGCACCGAACATAAATTACAGGTGATATAGCAATTGTCATAAGTTTTTCGGTTAAACTAATATTGAAAAAATATATAGTGTATATTATCGCGAACTGTCCTCGATATAGAATTATAACCTGTCTCGTTAATATCAACGAATTGCCTATAGAAGGATAAGAGAAGTTGGATTAGTCGTGATATCAGAGAAACTATTATATTTAATATATTTGGCGTGTAGTCATAGATAATTTGTATTTATATTAAATCCGCTACATTCATCGGCATTTCGTCGATCTGCGTCGAGTAATACTGTTCGATATCTCGCAGAATCCTTATATCATCGGTCTTCACAAAGTTGATGGATACACCTTTGCGACCGAAACGTCCTGATCGGCCTATTCTGTGAATATACAATTCACGATTGTTCGGCAGATCATAATTAATTACGAGGGAAACTTGTTGAACGTCGATTCCTCTCGCCCATACATCAGTTGTAATTAATACGCGACTGTAAAATAAAAAGACATATACATGAGAAGATTTTTAATATAATAAATGCATATACATACATATTTTAGAAATCCTGTTTCTTTAACCCTTAGCTGACACACGTCAAAATAATAACGTACGTGCTATAGGGGATATTTTGGATCCCAGCGAGAAAAAATGTGTATAATTGTTTTATTTATCAATATTGGGTCAAGCCTCGACTAATACTAGGTGACGCCACAGAACCAAATTTGGCGCGCAGCTATGAAAAATTTGCGTTCAAAAACACTCTGGGGTACTTTTAACCCCGTGTGTCAGCTAAGGGTTAATGCTCTTGGTCCCTCACTGCAGTTGTTTGATAACGTCAGAAACAAGAAAACGTATAATACATAAAATATATTAAAATAAAGGGATATGTCCGTAAATTAACACTTGTGATCGATTAAATATCTTTAAGATATTTCGAAAACTCTTTTTGCTCTATCAATAAATAACCGTAAAATTAATAACACGGAAGTTTCCTTTTTGCCCTATCTTCTCTCATAATTCCATCACGTTAACTTTACGGTTATGTATCGATTGTTAAAGATTGATTTCAATGTATTCTGTAAGAATTTTGGACTTTAATAAGCTTTCCCTCTTCTGACGTCATTAATCAAGATGACCGAGGCAAGAAAGTGGAAGCCTTAAAACTTCTGTCGTACCTTGCACCGGACCGAAATTCTTTCATTATGTTGTCTCGCTCCTTCTGTGGCATATCTCCGTGCATGGAACACACAGTAAAGTTCGCCTCTCGCATCTTTTCCGTCAACCAGTCCACTTTACGTTTCGTGTTACAAAATATCACTGCTTGTGTTATCGTTAATGTATCGTATAAGTCACATAGTGTGTCGAATTTCCATTCTTCTCGTTCTACAGCAACAAAGAATTGTTTTATCCCTTCTAACGTCAATTCATCACTAAAGAGAAAATAATAAATTAACATTAATAATCAATAATAATTAAAATTAAATTTATATCGCCACCGAGATGAAAGATTACTTACCGTTTCACAAGGATACGGATAGGATCTGTCATGAATTTACTTGTCATTTCTAAAATCTCATGTGGTAACGTAGCTGATACTAGGACAACTTGTGTTGCTGGTGGTAAATATCGATATACATCATAAATTTGTTCTTTGAATCCTTTATTCAACATTTCGTCTGATTCATCCAACACCAACATTTTTATAGCTCGTGTTCTAAGTACACGCCTTTTAATCATATCTGAAAAAATATTACACATATATGATTACATATGATTTTTTATTTGACTTTATCCTGCAAAGGTAAAAAGAATGATAGATTAAAATAGGACGCTTTATACATGTCATTTGAAATTCTAGGTAATTTTTGAGGTATTTGATTCGTTTTGTTTGATTTTTTAATTTTCTTAACAGTATACAATAGTACACAAGTAATCTATTATTTGATAATCAATATGATACTTACCAAATACACGACCTGGTGTACCTGATACAACATGTTGTCCATAGTCAAGCTTTCTGATATCTTCTCCAAGATTTGTACCACCAATACAAGCATGACATTGTACATTCATAAAGTCTCCCAAGGCAAGAATAACCTTCTGAATCTGTGTTGCGAGTTCTCGAGTTGGAGATAATACGAGAACTTGAGTTTCTCTCACTTGTGTATCCAATGATTGCAATATTGCAATAGAAAAGGTGGCAGTTTTTCCCGTACCCGATTGGGCTTGAGCTATTACATCTCTGCCTTTCATAATGGGTTTAATGGACCGTTGCTGAATAGCGGAAGGTTTTTCAAAGCCTACAAGGCAGAGGTGAGAATATAATTTAATCTTTCAACATGTACATTTAATATAAGAAAATGCGAAACCACCAAAAGATTAAGGTTAGTTTAAGTATCGAGGAGAAAAAAAACTTCACATACCATACGCGTAGATCCCGCGCAACAATTCATCGCGGAGACCCATGCTATCAAAGGTAGGAATAACTTCGACATCTTCACTGGTTTCAAATTCGACGTTGGATAAATCCTCGGTTTGTGCAACGCGACGTGACTTAATCTCTGCCATTTTGTTGAAACGTTAACAAAATCTGTACGTCTAAATTACATCGACCTTCTCTATCAGCAGTTTACACCAATGCTGCCGTATAAAGGAGAAAGAAGTAGTACCAACCAGTGTTCCCAGAGAGCCTATGGTCTGTTCTTTTTAGTTGCACTACTGATCTGGTGAAATAAGCAGGAATTTCAGCTTCTTATTCACCATTAACGTGCTTATAAATGTTCATAAATACCAAAGGAAATGACTTGGTGTAAATGCTTAACAGCCAAAAGGTGACTGATGGCGCTTATAAGCGTGAGCACTTCGGCGTGTGAGCGTCCAAAAAGAACGCACCTAAAATGAATTGTACGAATAAACTTCCAACTTCTTACCATGCGATATTAATTACCTACGCACATGATGTAAGTTATGTCGGTAAAAATGGTTTGAGTCTCGCCTAAAGAAGAATTTAATTCTAAAGTCTCCGCGACGAGCCGCCACTATCCTTATTGAAGAATGAGGTGTAATATAGTCGTGGACGGAAAAATTATCTCACACAATTTTTTTATGAGTTTCACAATTCATTTCACATGTAATAGGAAAATATATCATCTGAGAATAATTAGAAAAACAATTTTTCTATGGGTACGAAATATCTCTTTTGGTTTCGAAACTTATTAAAAAAAATATGACTTTTCTATTCATGACTATACGACTCAATGGTAAATAAGAGACACCTCCCTTATTTTTCAAATAGTATGTCTCGACGACTAATCGAGACATACTTTTACATTACTAAGGAGCGTAGCTGAAAAAGTTTCTCTCACGTTATGCCTCGTTTTTTTATATGTACGTCACATTTCAATATCTTTTCGTCAAAGGAGAGAACATCTGATGTAAAGAAAAGTAGTACACACTTTTATCGTGACATATCTTTTTATTCGCTGCGCAATTCTAGATTTTAAAGGATAAGAGTCTTGATTACAATTGCTTACTGCGATCGAATATTCTTTTCGCACGCGCGCGGCGAACTCTCAGAGAGATTACAGTATGTACAATATAATAAAAAATAGTGCGTCTCTTTACAATTTGTGAATCTATATACAAGTCGCGCTAAATACGTGATTTATACAGATCGGGACGGATCCCTCGGATGCGAAGACGTTGTCGAGTCGCGTTCTTCGTCGTCGCCCGCGATCATGGGTCGCGAATAAATCGCCACGGAATGATCGATCGCGCGGTCTTCTCTAGCGAAAAACCTAATGATTTACGCCGCTTCAACCAGGGCAGAAGAAAGAAAGTTACAAGTGCGTGCGCGGGACACCGGTTCGAAATTTCTGCCCGCGGGCAATTGTCGGCGAGCGCGCGGCGGCTTCGTCGGCGCATGAATAAGCAATCGGTACAACATTTACATTCATTCGAGGATTATGAATAGCCTCCTTTCTGCGCGCGAAATAAGAACCCGAATGATATAACGTGAGCTCCAGCGGGAGAAAATCAATTCGGCCGATGCGTCTTCCTTTCATCACCGCCAGATTCTTATCGGCTACGTCGCCTCGTCTAGTATTTCGTTGACACGTGATTTCGCTGATTCCCTGATCTATCTGTCGGCAAGTTTTATCACAATTCACAAACTCTCTTGCAACATGTACAATGTACGTCCATCACGATCCACACTCTTGGGGTGAGGAAAACATTAAATTAACATATTGTTGCTAAGGGGGACACTATATGAGAGACAGCGGTGTTGTGAGCGTGCATTTTCGTGTCGTACGTATAAAAAATTGACAAATCAATATTAATTTCTCAATACATATTAATATCGACATATTTAATTTAATATAATATTAAATACTAATATTTGATATTTTTTCATCGAATCTCAAGGAATAGATTTTATCACAGGGATCCTATCTGTTTTTTCTAATGTTCGAATAACTTTTGAGGTATCGTAACAACAAGTATAACAATATGAAAATGTACAATGTACATGAAGGAAGTCGGGATTTATTTATTATATAAATATCATATGTGCCCCGGTTTAGCGGTCAGCGACGGTTTAAGTCGCTGTAATAAAGCCTATTTTGTGATATGATCGGCTGCATCAGCACGCTTAACGCGCCTCATCTTTGCTCTAACGTGTCTTTCTGTTCTTCGTCAAAGTCGCGTGATAAAATGCAATACAATCGGAATAAAACCGTGAAACATCGAAATAACACAATTAGTCGTCAGTGTTCGGCTTCAAGGACGCGTTGCATCACAATAATGGCAATTTGTACAATGATCGCAGGAACGTTCACATTGGCGTATACAAAGTATGTGTCGGCTGATCGATATGAGACTCATTCGCGGCGGGTCGTTCGATATAAGTGCGCTTAAGACGTCGTTATACGCCCCCGCTGTCGGTTGCGCGAATGGGATCGAATGGTCGAGATCGAAACACTGTTTCACAGATAAACTACATCTTTCGCAACGACAACCTTCGGTTTTCGGTCGCTGGTCGATCGTCATTCTTGCGTAACGCGGCTGATATCCGTTGCGCGATTTTACACATCGATAATGATCGACGATTTCCGTGTTTGCCGGAAAGTCTCGCTTTTATATCATATGTACAATGACGGGCAGAAAAGTTGTTACATTTTTCTCATGAGTTTCGCAACGCATCTTGCATTCAATAGAATGTGTCTCCTGAGAATAACCGAGAAGCAAATTCTCCTGCATTGGATGCATTCCGAAACTAATCCGAAAGGAAGCGTCGCAATCTTTCTGTCCACCGGGTGTATGTGGATCTCACGAAATGTACAAAAGCGATACGAAAACGCTTTCGCGCGAAGAATTCGTCAGCGGGATCGGAAACTGCGTTGCGATTCGGCCGAACGAACCGAAGCAACCGAGCGACGATCTCTCTCGCGAGTCACGTGGATTGCGACACGCTGGATATGTTGACACCGGCTGTGTCCGGAGCAGATCGCTACGCTGTGACGTAAGGCACTCGCATTGTACGCATAGAGCGGACTGCTCGCGGTAACTAATAATTATCAGCGCGGATCAATGAATCGCGGCCAAGATCGGTAGTAGAGCGATCGTATCGCGTCCCACAGTCAAGTCAATTGGCACATTGTTGACCGATCGATCACGTGGCAACTGTCGTTTTGTTAATCGAACATCGTTAGCCGACCCGTGAGTTTACTTCGTGTTTCAACAAATATCAAAACAGGGCCGGGAACAGATGTTGGACAACGTTGGGAACAATCGGTCGACAATGTGTTTAGAACACGTGTTCACTTTTTTTCTCTATCTGCATTCTAATATCTCGACTTAGACGTACGGAAGACCGATCGAATTGTATTTAACAGCTACTCGAGGCGGGAAGAAAGATCTTGTTGATTCGCTCGACACCTCGCACGATAATTTGGCGAAAAACTGGCGAAATTCCAAGGATATCCGTCGCTATTCCGCAATCGAAGTCAATATCGCGAATGGAATGTGCGTTGGATAGTAGTACTTATCGAAGTCGCTGGTGGGAATAACGTTACCAATGCCGAGACTGCCAGTTAACAATGCATCCATTGTCTAAGTCCACATTCTAATACCTCAATTTAGACATATGGAAGATCGACCGAACTGTATTTACAGCTGCTCGACGCAGGAGAAGGATCTTATCGTTGCGTTCGCCCTGTAACTCACGCGATGAATTCGCAAAAGCCGCTGGAATCTGCTGGAATCTCGCCAAGTTCCCAGGATATTCGTCGCTATTTCGTAACCGAAATCGATGCCGCGGGTGGAATGTGCGTAGGATAAATACAATTGTCGAAGTCGGTACGCCACGACAGAGGCATTCGCCATGGGCATTCACGCAGAGAGCGCGCGTATGCGTGCGTGCGTACCTGCGTGAGTGAGTGTGAGCGGGCCGAGGGGAGGGCGCGGAAGAGAGGGAAAGGGGTGTAGAATTGCTAACACATATCTCGATATCTCGCAGTTCGATCTCTTGAGTCGGCCGCCCGTATATTTACATGTATAATTTATATATCCCGTGGCCCAGACGTACACGCGTCCGGCCAGGGCGGGCCGTCCTTACGATCGTCCTGGGACGTCCGTCGAAGCCTGCGCGCGCGCGCGAGTGTAAGCTGTCTCGTAACGCAAGAGAGAGAGAGAGAAAGAGGGAGAGGGAGAGAAAGAAGAGAACGAGAGGAAGAACGCATTATAAAAGGAAGCCCGACTCGAGGCCCGAATCGAGAGAAATTCGCGGGGATCCGATCGCGCGTGTTCCCACGATCGTTTCGATCTCCTCTTTGGAGATTTTCGGGCCGTGCGCGCGCTTTTCGAATGACGCGCATTCTTCCCGCGAATTAAAGCGCGCCGTCGATGAGCGCAGGTTAAATTAATCGCACGCCGGCGCGGCCATTTGCTCGGTGCTGTTTCAGCGGTCTGCGGAAAGTTCAAAGGACTAGACTGAGCCTCCTCGTGACCATTACATCGTATATCGCAGAAAATACAAGTAAATAACCAGCTAAACCGGAAAATAAACGGACTTTCCCGAATAATAGCGAGAAAGTTTCAACCGTTCCTCACCGGCGTTTCTCTCGAAACTGACGGTCGAGTGAGCCGCAAGAGACGGCACGTGAGAGAGATGTGACATTTTCGTGTATCCTGCGTGCGTGTCGACTCACGCGCGTGTGCGTGATCCGCAAGCTTCATCTCAGCCTCAGTCGCGACGAGATGCAACGTTTCATTGCGAGATCTCTCGCGATAAACGGGCGATTAGCGATCGTGGTTAATCTATCAAAGCGCAGATTACGAGATGCAGGTAGCAGCGGCCGCTCAGTCTTTAACTCCAAATCACCCACGAACACGCGAACCTGTTAAGGCCCCTCTGCACAGATCGCGAAACACAGTTCGCAGACGCGTATGCGAAATTACGTTTCACCGCACGCATTCGCAAATCGGCCTTACGTAACGAGTCAAGTCAACTCCAACTTTCCGCGTTATGGCAATTGCATCGACTAATTCGAGAAAAGCAAAGAATGGCTGTCACTTGCCTGCTAACCTTCGCGAACTGCGTATTGCAACCTAGGTTAGACGGGTCTTTAAGCCGGCGCGCGCGACGCGGAAAGCGCCCGGGGAGAGAAAACGGGAAGCGGACGTTAATTAAGCGAATTCCATAATACGCCGCGTAACACGGTCGTGATAAGGGTTACCGCCGACCCGTCGCGCTCGTGGGATTTCTTTCGGCGGTGTAATGCGAGAGCCGAAGAGCGGCTTTCTCCGTCTCTCTCCGTCTCCCTGCCGCTATTGTGGCCGCGAGGGCCCAATTAATTATAACGTATCCGCAGAGGGGGAGAGCATTGTTGCGTCTGCGTTGTTGTCGAGCGCACGCGTTGCGCATTGCGGAGCTCCCGAGCGCGATCGTTGTTTCTTCTCTTTTCTGTTCTTTTTTCGTCGATTTCGTACACCGTCCTCGATCTCAGCTCGAGCTCAGCGAAATTCGCCGGTTGTTTCAGCAAAATCAGCAAGGATTTTGCGAGCAACACGCGAGCCACGGAAGGGAAGTATCGAGGTACAGTCGGAAGGGCGTACTTATCTCTCACACAAAAGCAATCCAGAAACTATCGTATTTCACAGACAGCAAGTTCCACATTGTGCCGATTGGGCACTTCCTGATAATGGGTCCCGCGCCACTTTACGAAAATTGCAACGATTTTCAACAAATTTCGTTTCGTCGGTTGAAGTTGTGCGCGGTCACCGGAAACTCAACCGGTGGAATCAAGTTCTAAAGCTGCTTTCATGCGAATACAGCCTATACAGCGATACGAGTGCGGTTTATAAGCGAGCGCGGCTGCATCGGTAGCACATTGTCTCTCTCTCTCTCTCTCCCTTTCTTTCTTTCGCGCGTGTGTGGGTATCGAGAGCGTGTAGGTCGGGCGCAGGTATGCGTGCGTGAGCGCGCAGGTGAGTTAAAGGTGAACGACGTAGAACACGTACGAGAGAATCCCGAGAGGGGCGGGCGCGAGAAAGAGCGCGCTCGTCTCTTCTCGTGTCTCGGACGGAGGGAACAATCGCGGCCTCGCCTGAGAAGGTAATTAAGAGAACACGACGGCGACGATTAAACGATTCCCCGCCGAATCGAGCGGGACGAATTAATTCCGCCGTCGATCGGGAATCGAAGATTAACGATCGGGAGTGATACGGCCGCGCAGACGGCGAAGCCTATTTAGTGCTTGAGCGCGCGATTATCCCTGGCGTGACACGCGAATCCGATTGAGCGCGATTCCTCGAGCCGGCTGTGTTCGCGTACGACCGAACGATAATCGAAGAGATACCTCGGTGTAAAAATATTTCCCACGCAATTTGTTACCGCGCATCTATACACTGCCGAGGGGTCGCGAAGACAATTTCATCGTGAGCGTTGAATTTCGCGATTCTAATGCGGCCCTTCCGTCTCATTGAAAGAGCGAGCCATTCCTCGCACTGAATAACTGGATACAAAAGTTCGAGGATCGGTATGCGGAGAATGAAGTCTCTGAGACGCCACGCGAAATATCTAAGATTTTACACTCGCGAATTTTTCGATAAATTTGCGTCGAACATTCATCTTTTGCAATTTTTTAAATCTCCGCTGCTGCCCTGATTAAAAAATTATTGTTTCCACTATCTCGAAATGATCGCAGTCTCTTTCAGCTAGAGCGATAGATATCCTCTGCGACTGGTCATTTTCTTTTGTTGTGTCCGCTTTGTCGCGCGCGAAAAATACGAATAACAAAGGAAACCGGAAAATATGCGATAATACGATAAAACATTTACGCAAATAATTCGCGCGGGTATATTGTGCCCGTGCTTCGTCGAGTTTCAGTGGCCCGTCGACTCCGCGTCACGAAATCCCGCAATTTTCCGTAATCGAGGCACGCACGTGAAAACGAGATCTCATTTGCGCGCGCGGGGAACGGGGAGAATAATGGCCGGAGAATACTGCGGACCGCTTAGAACGTGGACGGACGTAGCCGAGGGCGCTGACTTGCAGCCCTGAACGTCAAATTACGGGGCACCTGTTCTTCAAAACGATTTCATTCCATTCGTATCGCGTAGAGATTCCAAGTCCGTCCGTCCATCCGTTCGTGCATCCGTACGGTTTCTCTCTCGTTAATATCCGACTATCATGTTAAAGCATTCTATACCGATTAGATAGCGGATCGATCATCTAATGCCTCGTACGAGAACGCGCTCGAAGTGTTACCTCCGTGTTAAACAGTTACGATCGATATGTACAATTTGTTTCGCTTCCATCGCGTTAGTTTCGGATCGGAAATTCCTCGGTCGAACTTGAAGCCGAGTTTTTCTCAGCGAGAATATCGAGGTTATCGTTTGTCTCAACTGTCAGATTTCCGACATCAGTTTTAATCATTCGCATTTTTTACACGAACTCTGTCTAGCCTAACGCGAAGCTGCGTCGTTGTTGGATGCAAATTCGTCCTGTATCATAGTGATTCTAACAGGACGACTTTATATTTTAAGCTACCGCCTACCGGCTCACGCACTCTCTCTAAATTTCTTCGAATGAAACATTCCGCCCGAAAAGTGAAAGCGACGGCCGAGTCACTCGTAATTAAAAAAAGTTCTTTCGTCCTGAACCGTCGAGTGAGCATTTTCGCTCGAAATTGAAAAATAGATCTGACCACTATCACTGGAATAAAAAGTGAAAACTTTATTCACTATCCGGCGGAGATAACGGTCTTGCTTTTTCGTACCAACTACCACCAAATTACCGCTTGACTTTTGCGGAATCGTTCGGGGCTACGTCAATTTATATCCGGTGTGTTACCGTTGATTGAAAACCGCAATGCGTGGTTCTTCGTGCGCGATATCATTACGTTTTTGCGCACCGAGCCTAACGTCACGCCTGAGTCGGCATCGCACGAAATATCCGCATCGCTACGACATTCGGTAGGAGAAAGCGCGCGCAAATTTATCGGCACCACTAACGAACGCGATCGCACGTTCACGCGAGCACGCGGTTTCACGCGTAGAACTGTCGTCGCGAAAATCCCGCTCTCCGTTGTCGCGAATGTTTTCACGTATATCAATTCCGACGACGACGATTCGCTCCGGTCACTTACCTGCCAACCGGTTCTCCTTCCGCTTGTCTCACGTTTGTAGAAAAATTTCGCGACACCGGCCGGTATTTTATTAGCGCGCAAAAGCGCAGGAGAGGCCGGCGCGCCGCTACCGATCGATTCGTGACGCTTGAGCTGTCGATTCGCGTGTCGCGAAAAGTCGATTGTCTTAACAGGACCGCAAAGTGTGGCGACAAAGGAACAAGTGGAGCGTCGCCGGGCAAGAAATCGATTCCATCCGGAACCGGTCTCCGGCGCATCCGCCGGCTCAAACAACAACGCCGGCGTAATGCGAACGCTCCTCGCGACATGCCTCCTCCTCCGGACAAAACTTGCGGCCGAACACCGTGAAGCGTCATCGTTCGTCGAAGGGAAACTTCCCAGTCACGTCACAGCGACGAGAAATCTCAACAGTCTTTTGTCTTCTCTCATCCTCTCCTCCCTGTTCTCCTAGCGGCCCAAGAGAGACGCGACACTTCCTATCGAAGAGAAAGAGCGTCGAATCAGCGCGGTCGCGCCCAGACTCTTCTCGTTCACGCGAGATTAACACAGGTCGGTCTCGGTGGCGATCGTCGAGCTTCCTCTTCGACTTCACACATACACACACACACACACACATACACATTCCTCTTTTTATATATTAATTAAATATAGTCCGAAGGCACCGTGTTCTCGTTGATCGCCGCGAGTCTGTACTGCGGCGCGTCCAAGTTCTGCGGACTCAGGTGTAAGCTGGTCGTCGGCGCCGCCGTCGTCGTTGTCGTCGTCATCGCGGACGACGACACCGTGGCGGCCGCCGGTATCTGCTGGTTCGTCGAATTCGAGCTGAGATCGCTGTAGTAAGCGCTGCTGGGAGCGCTGCTCAGCGTCGGTCCGTCCGGCTCGGCGTCGCTTCCGGTGTACGCCGTGTTCTGGTACGAGGGGTGTTCGCTGTTCCTGCTGCCGGCGATCCTCAGCTCCTGATGCTGATGATGATGATGATTGTGGTGATGGTGATGGTGGTGATGATGATGCTGACCCGGCGGCACCGGCGTCGACGGCCCGTTCTCGTACATCTCGTAGTCCGGCTCTTGTATCCTGGAAGCAACCGGATAACGAGGCTCTCAATAACCGTCGGGACGACGTTCGATCGGAATGCCGGCCATTAACATATGTACGGCGTATATATCGGCCGCATCGATATCTGCCGATTACGCGCGCTCGCTCGTTGTTATACGCGCAATTAGCCGCTCTTAGAAAGGCGATGATGGAACAAAACCGCGCGAGCTCGTTATCGATCTAGGAAGCGTCGGGGAAACGATCTTCTGGCGCGCGCTTTATAATTGTCGCGATCAATTTTATACGGATGGTTGGCCGACTCGAGATGAATCACTGAATGGCGAAACGTTCGAGGGAGTCCTCTCACAAAGGGTGGCTTTATTTTGCGATCGATGCGAAGATGAGATCGTTTAATTTGTTTATTGTTTTGACGAGACCGATTTGTTTCCGCATTTAAACTCATATTTAACATCTTCGATGAAAACGAGGTCACTTACCTCTTGCTGTGTCGAGTGCGAAGTGTGTCAGTCTGCAGTGAACCATCGCTGCCCCCGTAATGACGATGTAATCTGGCAGCGTCCAATTCGTGATATTCGTCGTCTTGGCCGCCGGAAGTCGTACCGTACGTCGAGCTTCCTCTCATTTGTAACTGCAGATCGCTCGCGTAGCTCGCGGCCTGAGAGTCCAGTTCTGCGTACAGCGCCTCGTCGGTTTGCATGTGGGTGTAGTGATTCTCGACTGGGAGATTCATCGCTCGTCGGTGCTGCGGAAGGGAGAGCGGCGTCGTGACGACTCCCGGGGTGCCACCGCCTCGCCGAGAACCCAGCCACGACCACACGTTGTGCCCTAAAGTCCGATTTCACCAACGATTCGAGACTTGTACTAATTGGCAGATTTATTCTTAAAGTAAACGTAATAAGTAGAAGTAATTAAAGAAACATAAGAATCACGACTTTCATCATTTTTTTTTTTCATGGCTTGAGAGACTTATGATGTTATAATTTAGCGTCAAGGTTGCGGGTGTTAATTCCGATAGAATTCTCGTTTCCATTCCTTTCCGACAACTTCCCTCGAGTTTTCCGATGTGACAGGCGAGATCAGGTCAAGTTGGCCCGAAAGTTGTCCGTATCGTTTGCGTATTTATTGTAAAAGAAAGATAATGAAAAAGAAGAATCGTGCAAAGTGTTCCTTTTAAAAGACGAAGACGTCTTCTCACATCCTGAAAGGAACGTGTTACAATTCTCTCTTCTTCACTGTTTCTCTCGCAATAAATTCACAAGTGAAACACACGACTCACCACTCCGGTTTCAACTTGACCCGGTCAGCAACCTTATCGCGAGGTACAGCTGCGTAATTGTCGCGAAAGATCATACACGGCTGGTTGAAAGCGCGCCGTTGCGGAGCGTGAGATCCGGTTCTGCGAGCTCGATTTTCCCCGGCGAGCGAAATGAGACGTACCGTAGCCGGGGCGCGAGAGACGCCGCGCTACCGTCGCGCGATCACAACACACACGACGTAACGTGTCGGGAACGCGCGAGTAACGAGCGGCCATTTCTCAGGGACTGCCGGACAACGCATATGCATGAGAAGTGTCTTGCGGACGGCAAGCGTATCGCGTAATAACACTCACCGGGGCTAGGCGCTACGTCGTGATAAGGTGGTAATTTGTCTAATTCGAGAGGCGGCCGATCGGGTATGACGGCCACCCCGCTGCCTGTACCACCCGCCCCCGTGGGCCCGCCGGCCTCGGGTACGCTCGAGTCTTCCACGCCGACGCCGCAGCAACTCGCTGGAACAAAAAGCGAAGAGGGTCTCTCTCTCTCACGCACGGTTCGTTGCTCCGGAAAAATTCCTCGACATCGACGCGAAAATCGCGCTCGAATTTCGCTAGCTCGCGTTTCGAGGGGGGGGGGGAGCGCCCCACGACCTTCCCTCCCCGACGGTGTTGAATCTATCCTACGGGATGCGTTTCTCGCGTGTCGACGAAGCACACGAAGTGCGGCCAGCTGAGCTCGGGGCAAAATCAGGGGGGAATTCCGATACGGCCGAATATGCGTAACCCTGCACGCAGATATAAAATACTGGTCCTCTTGTATATAGACGACGAGAGAGACGACGGACGACCCTCGAATCAACGCATTATGACGTGCGTACGAAGAAAACACCGGCTGTTTTCTGTACGGCTTTATTGTGGACCTGTCATCGCGCCGTCACGGGCCCTCATAGAACCGCGGGTTGCGCTGAGCGAGTGGTACCGGGGTGGCTGCTGGAGAATCCGGAAAGAGAGAGAGAGAGGAAAGAGGGCACACAAGAGATGGAGAGTGGGAGAGAGACAGGAAAAGGGATCTCGGAATTCATAGATCAGAAGCGCCGCCGCGACGGTAAGTAGGTACGAGAATACGGAGGAGAGGGAAGAAAAAAGACGACGAGATTAAGGGAATCTCGTGACTCCTTATGCCAGAGTACTCCCTCCCTTCTCTCTCTCCCTCTCTCTTTCTGTCTCCGTTACTCTCGCAACCGAGTTGGCCTCATAACCTACGCACGTAGCGTCTCCTTCGTCCCTTCGTTGGACTCGAGGGGCATGTCGTCGCGCGATGGCCTGAAAAGCGCGCCGCTGTCACTCGAGCTGCCGGGAAATAGAGAGACTGGTTTCTCGTTTATCGCGTTACCCCCGCGCCAGCGGTTTCTACGCGCGTTTAATGCCGTCGTCCGCCGCGAGGCGAACTACTATTTTATTTATACTTCGAGGAAGACGCGCGCGAGATCGCTCTCTCGAGAGCGTTCGCAACAACGGGCGCGTTTGAAGGAACACGCTTGATGGACGCGTCGGAAATGGTTGATTACTCGAAGCCCGCGCGCGCTTTCGCCAGCGCCTTTCACGTTTTTACGGAATGCCCGACGTTGCGCGGTAGGCAATTTCGACTTTGAGGCGTTCCCGTGTAGTTCTTTCGAGCTGTCCACGCCCGAGGGCCGCACGATTTCTACAAATGATTAGTTTCGCTCGTAATATCTCGGAGGATTAAGGCGTCCCGAGCCCACTTTCGCTGATCAATCAAATTTCTCACGTATTCGTTAGGTTCACAATAATCGCCTTGGGTTAATTGATCTCCGAGAGACAGAGAGGGTTTGAGTTATGCGCGTAAGATTCTAATTTTATCGCTTGATTCGCAGCTTCAGCTTGTAATTTCACACAGCGAGATAATCGGTCAAACGGAGCACTCGGTTAATTGCACGGTGTAATCATAGTTAATTGTGCGGGGTTAATCATAGCCGTGGATATTCTTTCTCCTTAATGCTGACCTCCTTCGTTAAAAAGTCGTTAGTTCTCGTACCGATAAATATAGTCTGTACTCTTTTATTACCGCCTCGATCTGACGCGATCAGAGCCGTAATGACAACGCGGGAAACCCGTTACATCTGCAATTATGCGTGACTATTCTCTGCTTAATGTCCGGACGTTTGCCCGATGTCCCATCGATTACACCGGAGTGGAAAATGTAATCGTGTTTATTTATCGCAGCGCGGCTTTGTCGTTAATATCGCTTGCGCGATTACTAAACGACTCGCGATTTAACGTTCCGCCGCTAATCTGTTTGTTGCGGGAGCGGATAAAGCACGACGATTTATCCTCCCGTCATTTCGCAAGCCGAGCCAGTTCTCGCTGCGATTTCGCGAGTGCGACAAAATTCCGGCACGATTATATCGTAACAGGTTTACCACCGCCCTGAGCGCAGCAATTTTTGGCTAATTTCTCATCCATCCCCCTATTAATTTTGCCCGACTACCAGCTCCTATTTTGCAGCATTCCTCAAAGCGTTCACGATTGAGACAAACAGGATTAGCAGACAGTTTCGCATTTATCCTGAGGCGAACGCAAGGCAATGAATTCAGCATGAAAAGAAATCACATTGCGAAATAAGAATATTTTTATGTAAGTTGGCTCTTTCGTTTCTCAATGAAAAAATTTCTACAATCGCTTAACAATTATCACGTAACATATAATGAATCGTTCTCATAATATTCATTATGTACATCATTATGACACATCGCGATGGTATACTGTAAAAAAGGCGCAAAATAATTGTTCAATTTGACGCGAAAATCAATTTACGCGCGAGAAGCATTGCACCTTCATGTTTCGGCTTGACGTCTATCGTCACGCGATTATAACATAGTTTCTGCTTCACGAACGAGTTTAAGTGATCGTGTCGGTCCTTCTTCCAGGCTGTCGAGCCGTGTCACCAACGGTATACCATCTTGGCTGAATATTATCGAGACAGATAGGTGGAATATTAATTAGGCGACACGTGAAAATCGTAGCGTCGGGGAGCATGTCGTGACGACGGGGGGGCAAGTGTTACGCTCTTTCGTCACGATCAGATAGCTTAAAGGTGTGCGTAGAACACACGCTTTGCCTCCTAGTCCGGTTGTGCCGAGTATGAGATCTTATGCGATAAGAATTTAACACGATTTATTACGATCAAACTCGCGCGTCTAGGGATTAAGCATCATCGTAGGAGCTTGCAGTCTTCACTTCCAACTTGTTGAAACATAATAATGAATGTTATAGATGTAGAAACAAGTTACATCATTTATTTATTGTCTTCGGATACGAATGTGACAGTGAGTCCTAAAATCCACGATTTTTCGAGGATTTTGGAACGATTTGCCGTCTATTTTTACCATTATTATTATTACTAAATATTTCTAACGATTAACATTAGAATTAATGTTCCGACAAAATGAAATCTAGGTGACATTTAGCGAGGAGAGAACTTACACGAGGCTGAATTTATTTTCCAATATATCGTAAAAGCCACTCGTGCAAGAGCGAAGAGTTTAATTAAACGCACACGACTCACGCATTGTATATTTCGTATTTTAACTTAGCGCGTCCGTTGTAATCGATTTCATAATGGGAGAATAATGGGAGAATTCCAATTTGTACGAGGCAAATATCCCGAATGTCAATACGCGCGAGAGTGTCGGGCCGCTGCTGGCATCGTGATTTTCTGACACACCAACCGATCCGAAATATCGTTCCAGTCGACGCGCGATAAGCCGATTAACGGATTCGCCTCACCTTTTCTACCCGACTCCCCCGGTCGTCATTGTATCACGGAGGGATCGCGGGGGAATCTAACGTGTATAGAACCCCCCGCTTCTTTTTTGCGCGGGAGCAGCCTCTTTCAGCCGTCCATTAACGCGCTGGCTCGCCCGGTGGCACTTAAAGCAATCCTTACGCATGGCAAGATGATGTACTATTAACGAACTTTCACTAATTTATTTTTTGCCCGGCGGGATATTCAATTACGCGCAATCTCGTAAAATGTGCCGGTCGGTGTAACGAAGTTACGTTCCACGAGCGCCGGCTGGACTCTCTCGATTAGGACCCCGCTATTGATTCAAATTACAGATTTAATAGGGTTTTACACAGGTTATACATATACACGCGAAAGAGGCAAATTGGCGAAATTGAAAATATCCCTGATAGATGGGGAAGTTTTACGAGGGCAGAGGTGGGGATCGGCGCTCGATGGTAAAATCCCGCTTCCAAACAGGATCTTATTTCATCGTCGAGAAATTTCCCCTTCTACGTGTCATTACGCGATTAACGACCGCTATTGTTTCCAGCGTTGGTAATAAATCATCGCGTCTTAACGTGTAATTGTATCTTGGCTATTTCGTGCCTCTCTCGGTGGTTATCCGCTTTAAAACCGGATTAGAAGTCGCCCCCGGGGGCGAGAGCGACGAAATCGCGCGCTCTCGCGAGTAACAAGTATGAACCGTGGACCACCTCGGATGATTATTTTTTTACACGAAAATTACGTAAAATGATTAACAACATTATCGTCGATAGGATATCTCACGATGGTTCATTCGCATCGCGTTGATAGGTTTCTCGAAACATCTCTCTTCTATGCGCAGAGAAAAGGGAATATTTGGCGTATTTGTCAGTTAAGGGCCGTTCTCGTCCAATTTAAATAAGATCTTTCATCGTTGTTACTTCCATGCAAATAAACATTGTCACCTTCTAAAGCGATTTTTTCAATGGAAAATGTCAATTTAAAGGGCACTTGTCATCCACGCGGCTACTCGCGTTGCATTTAAGTGCGCAGGCACTTCAGGGTTAATTTCGCCGGGGATTTAAGCGGTGTTCGCGAGCCCCCGAGAGAACCTACGACGGTGGCCCGGTGGTTCGTGAGATGGTTCGGTGAAACGAGTGTCGGATAATTAATTCGGGTGACCCCAGCATCCCAGGCGGTAGCACCCTGCGGCCCCCCCGGCCGCTTCTTGTCTTTTTACCGTTCGCCGGCCGCTGCTCGTCGATCGTATCGTGCCGCGGCTGATTTTAAATCAGAAAGTTAATTAGACGCGTTCCTTTGTGTCGCCCGTCCGTCCGGCCGTCGCGTCGCCCTCCTATCCTTTAAGCGCGCGACACGGAACAGCAGCACGACGAGCAACACACGGACGACGAAACGGCTCGAGCACATTGACGTGGCGAGTGGTTTGCATTATGCGAACTAATTAAACTCCAATCGATGCTTGACACTCGACGCGACGTCGCGTCGTTCGCCGTCCGCCTCGGCGCCGACGACGTGTCCGTCGTCGCGCGTGTCGGCGCCGTCATGCGCGCGCAAACGGGGCCCCGATTTCCGTTCGAGACGGTCGTTACGTGGCCGGCGACGTCGTGAGCCAATCTCCACGGACGACACGTTCCGCAGAGGGAAAGAAGTATTCCCTCCACCCTCCCCGATAAGAGACGACGTCTAATACGACTGTGTCTCACGAACCGGAGCGTCACGTTTGTCGATCCGACCGATTGTCGCTCTATTTCTTCTTCGCAAGGCGAACGGTCGTCGGTTTAGCGGACAATACGATACGGAGGATTGGCGGGAACGGACGGTTTATTTCGCAACTTTCTTTCGCGTTGCAGCATCGTCCCGATGAGGCTTTTTGCTACGTCATAACGATAATATCGCGGGTACGATGGCGAGAAAAGCGCATTGTGTCGGGGACGGGCAACGTTCTCGCAATTTTTCCCATTGTGCGTTGTTAAATTGTCGCATTATTTTGACGTCTTTTGCTGAAAAAAACCATCCCCGCGTCCATACATTATGACGTATTTTTTTCTGCGACTTGAGGGGTTTACGACGCGACAATGGAAGAAGCGTTCTCGAAGGAGACCTTTGTGTGGTGTTTCATAAAGGATATCCGAGAGGACGTTATTGTGAATGTGAATGTCATATATTAACGTGTGATGAAGAAACGAGCGAACGGAGGGGCTCCGCGCGAGCCGGTAACTCAGTAGGGGACTCGGATAATTGGGAATCGTTTCGAGCCTGACCTGTCAGCACCGCCGCGAACCCACTGTGCGCTGTATACGGTATGTTAATTCGACATAATTGAAGGGTTAGTCTCGAGGGTAAATCCGGATCTTCTCTCGTCTCGATCCGCCTAATCGTGACCCTACACCGATCTCGTCACTCATGATCCTCGATTTGCGAACGATTCAAGTTTTGCGCGAATCAAAAGTACACTTCGCACGGAAACGGACGTCCTGCGAGTAATCATTTCACGAGTACACCCCGAGTCGAAATTTTAAATTTCACATCATGTCCTCAAGGAAGAAAAAAGGAAATAAGTTCCAATTTGTAGCGTCGGAGGAGTATAACAAAAGACCTTTGAAGACTTATAATGTAGAACTAAATTAGATTTAAAGTAAGGACTAAAATCTCGACTCGAACAGCTTTACGAATAACACGCGTATCATGATGGAATTTTGCTCACCTCTGCCACCGCCGTTCACTATCCTGTAACAGATAAATTAAAAATATCCATGAATAAACTGATGTATCGAGAGAAATACGCGTATCGATGATGAAGTTTGATAAATTATTCTCCTCGAAGAGAAGGACGTTTCCTCAGTTGCGAAGATGCTTGTTTTCTGACTACGTAACGATTCTAAGATCACGACCCGACCGGAGTCCCGTTTTACTTGCATTGATGTTCATGTGATACAACGAACCAAATATGTTCAAAACTTTCTTTTCCTGTTCAAGTCGAACGCAACGTTCACATCGGTCTCCCTCTTCTTCGGCCCTTTCCACGCCCCATTCGTCTGTCACTTGTCGGATTCGTAGCGAGTGTAAATCTAGTTAGCAACCCCTGCTTCATCCTCGTGCTCAGCGGCGATCCGCTCTCTCGATTACGATATCCGCCGGTAGGTGGTAATTTAAGAGAATCGGCCGAGCCGCGCTGCAAGATGAAACCGCGATCGGCTCGCGAATCTGTCGGTGCGCCGATCCGTATCGAAGTGCCTCGCCGCTTCGCGAGGTGTCCGAGTATTCTCGCGGAAATTGAACTGCGCGTCCCGTTTATGTACACGAGAATTTCAATTTGAACGAACATTAAATCCAATTGATTTTACACGGCGCAAAACGAATTCGGCAATCGTTCTCGAAGATCCATCGTACGAGGACGAGACGTGTTGCATAAAAAGATAATCCTCGATCACCATCTTTTTTCCTCTTAATGCTTTATGCTCGCAAAAATAAGCGTGTTTGTGTAAGAAAGAAATACACATACTAACCTTCGACAGTGAGAATAGATCATCATCGCCACCGCTCCGATACCAGCCGATACTAAGGATACTATCACTAGAGTCAGCACCCATCCGTACTCTCCACGACCTTCTGTAAAAACAAAATAAAAGTCATAAGTTATACATATGCGAAATATATCAAATAATCTGGAATTTTATTAGCGCAATGTAAATTCCGATTTTTCTCACTAATATAAAATTTACTTCGAATTACTTGCGGATGAAAGCATACGTCTGACAATGACCGAGAGTTGTAAATTTTCGGGTTTCCACATTCTCGGACGGTGACGCGCGTGAAATTCAAACGTGCAAATCCGTTCCCTCGGAAGGCGACGTTCGAGAAGGAAAGTTCAGCAAAAACACGACACGAGGCTTTCCACCGTCTCGATTCCAGTCCCGACGTATTATCATAGTTTCTCTCTCGAGTCCGCGCAGACCTTCGTATGCGCCGTGCATACGCCGGGGCAACACGAGCATCGAATAAATCGGCCCTCGGGATCTTTGCGCGCTACGCGCGGGCGCCCGGTAATTGGCTCGCAACCTCATCCGGCGCGTTCCGTTTCCGCGCGCAGCGGGGCACCCGCAGGTTTATTAGGCGTCCTTCGCTATTATTCCTGCCGCACACCTACCGAAAGCTCTCCACGTCCCTTACCTATCCCACTTATCACGCTGAAATCGTTTCATTCCGGGCGCACCGGCAGCGACCTCGCGGACGCGCGCGCGCGCGCTCTTAACGAGGGCCTGAGATTATCGTCCGCGCGGACATAATTAAGAGAATCGCGCCGTGGGTTTATCGCGCGAGAACGACGGCGAGCCCGCATGATGGAAGTGAGAGAGACAGGGTGAGATCCTCTTTGGTGGACCGGCCGATCAGTCCGGCGGATCGTTCTTCGGGCGTAATCGGACGATTCGCGCGTTCTCGACCGCCGATGATTTTCCTCTCCGAAGACTCTCTTCTCCTCGCTGAACGATCCCCGACCAGTTCTCGACTGTTTGCATAGCCGTTTTCATTGGAACGCGAGAGGCAGAAAGCGAAAGAGAAAGAGAGTGAGCGATAACCGCCGAGCGATTTTCCCCTTCCCGCTCCGTGCTCATTAGTCGGCTCTTAGAGGTTTGTCGCGTTATCGTGGAGTATCTTAAGCCCGCGCAGAATGTTTCGGATCGGTCCTTACTCAAGGTCTTAATCGCGACGATTCTCTCGGGGCCGACGCGAATTTAAACGTTCAAATGGAGATTAGCGAGCGCTCGCGGAATTACGAACGCGGGAACGGGATAATTAGGTCCCGCTGATCGGAGGATTATCCGCGAAGGAGGCGCGTAATGCGCGCCTCGGCCGATTCAGTCGACGACTGCGTTCACTCTTTGCTCCTCCTCCTCCTCGTCGTCGTCATCGTGGTCGTCGCGACGACATTAATCGCGTGTGCAGTTTACGAATTCCACCGTGCTGGGTTTCTTCTATCTCGAGACCTTCCTCGAGTGCGCTAAGTACGCTCGTCTCGCGAAGAGGTAGATTCATTACGGCCTTGTCACATGCACCCCTTCCCCTCCTCTCGCGCCTCTCCGTAGTGTTCGTTTATATGCGCTTCGAGTTGTCGACGCCGCAATCGCTCAGCGAGCTCGGAAGAGGGACTCCAAGGGAGAGGAAGTCGTCTCCCAGGGAGAGAAGGAACCGCCAGTGATCGAGAGCTACTACTCGACTCTGCGTACGAATGTGTTACCTCTTCGCGAGGCCGTCGGGGTAACGACAGAGGGGATCGGACGGTTGCTTTTGAAAAGGCCTGAAACTAATCATTTTCGGCCCGCAGCCCGTAGCAAGGGCATAACTAAGGAAGGAATATGTTAGGAGCAACGCGACTCGTCTTAAGCGATATATATATATATATGTAAGTTGAAAGGATAGACGATATTCGAAGAAATGAGATGCCCTCGCGAGATCTCACGAAGATTAAAATTCTCAAGCTAATTATTTTGAATAGTATCTGGCAGAGACATTACCACGAACGAAAAGTGACCAGTGAGAATATATGTATCTTTTTCTACTTTGCGCAAAATAATATTTAAAATAATGAAAAAGATATTTCTCACATTATTCTGTTAGATTTTCGTAATTACAAACTCGAGAATCTTGAAATTTTTAATATCTATATTGATCCACCTTTTGGAAAAAAGAAGACGGAGAATTCCGACGGAGAAAGAGCAAGGTTCTGGATAGAGAGGCGAAGGGAAGTCGAAGATTCGAGAGCGAGGATGTATATATATATATATATATATATATA